TTTCCCCCTTCTTGCCAGTCCTAAAAAACATGGGACATGACACTCAACTCTAACTCAAATCTCATTGTGCAGAAGGTAAATTAAAGAGTGAAATGTAAATGATCTTTCCAAGCTGTTACCTCTGGTCTGGTGGTTGCCCATGACATCAGCTGTTCATCCATCCTGAAGCTCCACTTGCTATTGTCCTAGAAAACAGAGAAGTGTCTCAATAGATGCCTACGTTTGGAAAACTTCTATATATGTGAGTCAATTCATATTCCTCAAACAAATCAAGTCATTCTGTAAATAAACATCTGCACAAGGGTGATTATTGGTACTTACCAGTGCATTGATGATGTCAGTGTTATCTACCTCCTGAAACTCTAAAACAATGAAGGATTCTGGGAAGGTAGTACCACTGGCAATAGCCTCAGCACTCCGGACAGTAGTGGCATAGGTGGCAAGCCAGCTCCACTCCGATGGGCAGGAGTGGGCATCGGGACTGGCATGGTGTGGTGGGTGTGGAAAAGAGCACAGGTGTTTGTCTAGGGACAACCCAACAGTCAAGGAGGCCAGACTCTGGAGGAAGGCACTGTGGATTAGTTGGTCCCCAGCTGCCACATGGGCCTGCATTGAGAGAAGATATTCAAAATCACAAGTCAGCTGAAGGTCACAGGGACAAACATTCATAACTAAAACAGTTAAATGTTTCCAATAAGGATACAGAAACAAAAATCAAAAATGACCCGTTCATAGTTGTACTGCTCCTGCAACAGCAAGGGCAACCTCTCCAAGAAGACAGTCAAACATTTTGCTGAATTTAGACCCAGGATGTTCTGGCTTCTGAGAACCATACGACAGGTAGGAAGAACATGATTTTGACTGATCCAGTCAGGGGTGCAGCAGATCACCAAAACATCCTAGGAAATAAAAAAATGAAAATTGTAAAGACTCAAGAAGAGAAAATGTGGTATCTGCAAACATTTGGGCATGCTATTTTTTTTATAGCACGGTCTCAGCTCTAATAGCTATTCACTATCAAGTAAAATCTGAAGTTAAAGAAATACAGTAGGCATTAGTATAGAATAATGTGAAGAGAAGCGCTGTGATGTTCTGACTACCTCAAAGGTGTAGTTCCATATGCCTATTTGTTTCCTTGTCAAGAGTTAGATGAGAAGATTACACTCTCAGGCCTGTGCGCCAAATATAAGGTTAGAGCTAGGAGATGCTTAGCTTAGCAGACTGGAAACAGAGTCTGTCTACTAGCACCTCTAAAGCTGAACAATAGACACATTATATAGTTTACTATGTAGCATGTTATAGTCACACAAAGCCTGATGTGTAAAAATGTAAAAAAGTTGTGGCTAGCAGTTTCAAATTTATTCCAGTATTTCTGTTCAGCAAGATGGCTAGCTTCTAGCTGTATCTTCCTCTTTAACTGCAACACTCCTCTCATTTAACTCCTTGCAAGAAAACAAATATGTTGAACTACTCCTTTCAGGTTGACGGAAATTTACGTTAGAGGTAATCCAAATTACCTTCGACCTTCCAAAGCAGGCAGCTACACCCAAGTTTGGTATCCAGGTAGTACTGATGACTGAACCCAAACCAGTAACAGTCTGCAAGACTGAACCATCCTTCAAGAAGCACAGAGAGGCAGGAGGATTCAAAATTATAAAATACAAATTATGAAATAGGAAGTCAGTGATCTTTACACTGACTTTGAGTCAGGAACTGGCAGGAGCAGTAAATACAGGTTTCTGACCTGTAAGGACCAGATGTTGAGCAGTCCACCTATCCCTCCGGAAACTAGAGCCAGTCCACTGGAACAAAATGAAAGGGACTTCACTGCTGTAATGTGGCCATGAAGGACAAACACACACTGTGCACTGTCCTCCTGAAAAATGACAAAGAAACAAGTGAGTCCATGAGTTTAAAGCAGAGGACAGCAAAAATCAAATCGTTTTCATTTCAGCTCAGTTTAACTCAATTTGATCAGTTTCAACCCAATTTGATTTACTTCAAAATTCTCAATTTGATTTCATTTTGTTAGCTAGTTTTTATTTTTAATTATTAATTTCACTGAATATTTTAGGTTAATTCAACTTGATTTTATTTCTTAATTTAATTTCAGTTTAATTTTATTCAGCTTAATGTAACTGGATTTAATTAGTTTTATGTAACAAATTTAATTCAACAATTCTATTTCATTGATTTGACTCATTTCTATTAGGCTGATTTAACGCAACATAATTTAAACTCACTTCAGTTTCAGTTTGATTCAATTTGATTCAATTCAGTTACTAACTTTAGTTTAACAGTGTAATATTTTGAATGTATTTAATTCAAATTAACTCAGTTAACTTAATTTCATTAATTTAAGTGAACTCAAATTTAAAGAATGTATTTAATTTAACCAGATTCATTTTAAGTCTATTTAATGCAAGATGATATAGAACCATCATTCCATAATATGGCAGTAGAGCCAAGGATGCAAAAGGACCCCCAACAGCAGATCCAGACTGACCTTGACATTGTTTATATCTTGGCTGGGAGAGTTGTTCATTAAGTTGGGTAAAGACACAGCTGCACCCCCTTGTGGCAGTGTCCAGACATACACAGAACCATTCTGGCAACCTCTACATAAACATGGAAATATAAAAAATAGATTCAAGTATCTACAACAAAGATCAAGAAAGGAACATGTGAAATTAATTTTGTCTTTCACTATAATTTCAGATTTTGTTAGTAAATTTGTGGGTATTTTAAGAAAAAGAAGCAAAATATTCATAGAAAGAAGATTGAATTAAGTGAACTCACGCAGCCATCATGAGCCGGGGATCAGGTGCTTTGCCAGCGAGTGGGCACCATTCAGTGATGTTAACATTGCTGGTGTGAATGAGGGAGTGCAGGGTCACCCAGTTGGTGCCACAGCGCCCCAGTATCTTCACTACCTCTGACCTGCCCAAACAGAGAAGCAAGTGTCCAGTGGGGTCCCATTTTAGGGAACTTATACTGTCCTGTAGAAAGAAGAGAAGAGCAGGGTTGAGTTGATAATTAAAGCAGAATTCAGTGTCACAACATGCAGATAATGTGTGTAGAATGAGTTTAGTGTGGAGCACATATTTACACACTGTATTAAAAATGTGTGTAGAGTACATTTTACCAACAGACCTGGAAGACAGACAGCACTACAGGCTGCTCATTCTCATACATCTCAGTTGTGGCCAAAAGGATCTTTCCACTGGGATAGCCCACTGCAAACGGTTTGTCCTCACTGTGCCAGGCAACACACCTGGGGGCTAGAGGACATCAAAAGGATAAGATGAGTCTTTTAAATGAATAGCTTGACATTTTTGGATTCCATGCCACTCTCATGGTTGTACATTAAAGCAATAGCCAGCAGCTGGTTACTTTATCTTTACAAAAACACTAGAAGCAGGGATTACAGCTGATCCAGCTGTGTAAAAAAGAATAAATAAAGAAATTACTGTGCTTGAACAAGAAATAATAACTTTTTACAATATATATTTCAATATTTTGTAATACAAACAATTTATATCATTTATACCATTTACATTATGGATATTCACAGGTGAAAAATTTAGTAAACAATTAAGAATATGTTAATAATTTCAATTCTTCTCTATACCTGTTTGTCTTAATGAAATTATTCCCCTTATATTTACATTAAAATTTGAGTGTGATGTGACCATTTTCATGAAACATCATTCTATTACCATAGGTGACTGTGTGTATAGGGGCCTCCTCACCCTCTTTCCTGTGGCAGTGGCTGAGTTCAGTGCTCTGTACATGCAGCTCTATTTCCTGCAGTGTGACTTGCAGCCAGCAGAGGGAGCCGTCCAGCCGCCCCACCAACAGGCTTTCAGCAGATCGGTTTTCAGAGGCCATCACATGGTCAAGAGCCCACAAACTGAAGGTCTGAGCCCAGCAAAGAGCTGTGACCCGAGACACTTGAGCCTCCACGTGACAGTGAGATCCTGTTAAGTGACAAAATAGTTAATAGAATTAGAATTGTTCTAATAACTATGCATCTTAAAGCTGGGATTCGCCAAATGTTTATTCATTTGGCTATTTGATCTTCACTCTGCAAAATTATGTTGATACCAGTTTTTACCTTTCACATTCATCTGCTGAAGAAACAATGTTTGTTTGAGGCACGTCACTATGAGGACAACGTTGAAGGATGTGGAAAAAAACATTATTATTGTAATTGGAGTATTTGTATTAAAACTTGTTTGGAGGTTATCTTTAACAAAGCTGTCAAAATGGTAGCAATAAAATTTGAACAGTGCTTTTAAATGACGCTCAAACAAATTGTTCATATAACAAACTTTTATAGTTACTGCATTGATCAGAGAATAAAAATAATGGGGGTTTATTATTATACATCCTGAGTTGATAATCCAAATTCTGAAGTGTATAAGCATTTATAATATTAACCAGACTGTAGACTGACTTAAACTTAATTACATTAAGTTGAATTCAACAAAAAATTAAAATAAATTATTTAAACTGGGTTATATTAAACTAATTTAATTGAGGTGAATTATATTTATTTTAACATTAAACTATTAACTGGTGGCAACCCTGTGTGGAATATTTTACCTTTTTATAATAATATATAATCCACATTTTTTAAAAACTGACTTACCCTTGATGTTCATGATGTTTATGTGTTTGTTCTCAGGTGCAGCCAAGAAGTTTCCTCCTGTACTCCAGCATACAGGCGACATTTGATGACATCTACTGGTCTTCTCACTGATTGATCTGTCCGTCTTACTGGAGAGAGTCATAAAATTTGAGTTTACTGTACAATCCCATTTCTTTGATAGCAACTCATCTGTGAGAGTTTAAGAAACCTCTAGGTTTGTTACTTCAGGTATATTAGGGTTTTCTCATATTTACCTATCAAGACAATGAAAGCTTTGATAGGTGAATAGATATGTTTTGATAATGAGCATTAAAACTGTGCTGAATCAAGCAGCGCTAACCTGGTAATACAGGAGAAGGTGGTCTGTAACTCCACTGTATTCTGGCTGATGCTCCACAGTTGCACCACCTTGTCCTGAGAGCACGTAGCCAGCAAACTCTGCTCACTGCTCCAGGAACAGCTGACCACCTGAACACAACAGAAATAGCATACACTTTATTTTAACCTCACTTCTCATGATTCCCATGATGTTTATGTGTTTGGACTTTTTTCTTATAAGCTCCATTAAGATTTCTCTTCTAGTCGATGGTTTATAGGCATTGTTTCTCATTTCCATCTCCTTGCTGCTGCACACAGAAATGAATTTTAAATTCTTTCCTGTACAAATTACTAGGTCCCTTTTTTGGAAGAGAAATTAACATTGTTTATGTGGACAAGGGAATGCCTTGGCCTTATTAAATCTGAGATTCTAAAATGAACTTTTCCTGAAAAACATCTCATCCTGCTGTGAGAACAAAGGAAAAACTGGTGTATAAAAGGTTAGTGAAAAGCTAAACAAAAACAAATGCAGCTGTTATTTTAAACAATTTGTCTCTCTCACCTTGTTGTAATGTCCTTCCAGTCTTTTCAAAGGACATTTACGTAAGTCACCTGCCCGGTCGCTGTAAGTTTGGGGACGATTAGGACTGTCCCTTCCTGTGGCAGCCAAGGCATACACCAGCTGCTGTGCTGCCCACTGGCGGTGTTTACTGGTCAGCCTTGCAGAGAGGACACATGCTGCCAATGCATCAGCCAGCTCCAGAGGGCCTACTCTGGCACCCAGGTGCGGTAAAGAGGATGGAGGCAAAGACAAAGAAGACACCCCTGGATTTCCTGCATCTAGGTTAAACATGCAGGAGAGAACTACTGAATAACAAAATCACAAGTTTTCAAACACTTTAATACGTATAATACTCTCTCACCAGTGGCCTCATGTTCAGTCCTATCAGGGCTGTAACTGTGAACACCCTTTTCAGTGAGGAGGGACACCAGGCGTTGTGTGACCAGGAATGTTGGGGGAGTCTGGTCACTGTAGTCCCTCTGCTGCTGGGAGCTCTGGGCTGCAGCTGGTAGACTGGAATTCAGACAACTTCTCTGCTGTGGGTCACTGATGGCCCTAGTGTTCACCCCTCTAGCTGCTGCCATTAAGTCCTACGAATATGAAAAGGATATTCATATTTATTTCTATGCATTACATTTGTTCATAATTAAATAATCCCTGAAAGAGTACATTATTTATAATTTTCTGGTTATAATCCATTTGTCCTTTTAATTCATCTAATAAATTGTCCTTTATTTTAATGCATGTTTTTATATATTATTGCAGTATAAATCTGTTGATTTTGTCATTTTTAAAGCACATTGTAGCTATTTAACAATCTTAATTTTCTCTCCTTACAGTTTAGAAAGGGTATAAACACAAATAACAGTCTAAAGATTTACACAAATATGTAAAAAGTCAACAGCAAAAAACTATTTTACTAATGTAATTTTTAAAAATGGACAGTTAATATTAAAGGTACTATATATGTCACTCTGTGATACAGACATGATATAATTATAAATGGTTTATTATATGGTATGGCCCTGATAATTTGCATTTACAGTAAGAAAACTGACCTGAGTACAAATCTCCACTAGTTGTCTGTAAGCAGTAGGACTATGGGATACCACGCTGCCAATGGCTGAGGTAAGGTAGCCGAGACAGGTGGAGGTGTTGCGTTCTGTCACCAGCCCCTTCACACCTGGCTCTCTGTCCATGCAGGTGTGAGCTCTGCCCCCTGCTGCTAGAGTCATCAAACGCACCAGAATGCGAATATCTGCCAGTCCCAAGGACTCGAGTCCATTAGACTGGCTGCACACTGACGCGCTAGACATGAAGGCAAAAGAGGACTATTGAAAATACAATGAATGAATGAAAAACATGTATCTGAAAGGCTATATTCTGGTCTAGCATACCTAGAGGCAGTCTGAGACAGTGCTCTCATCACCATGTTGTATGCTAGCAGAATCTGGGCTGTGGAGGTGACTCTTCTTAAAGCTTTCAACCTATCATGAGAGTCCCTCAGAGATACGGCCTGCTGTCCAAGACTAAGAGAGGCCTTCTGCTCAACAGCAGCATTCCCTGGTGATGGAAAAAAAGACACATATATAATGGCATTCTGTTAATTATAGAACAAATCCCTGATATACCTGGCAGCACACACATTTTAAAGCACTCTGACAGTACATGAAGATCAGGGCAGCCATCATTCTTGTGTGGGAAAATAAGCACTGGATGATTGAAGTATGTGCACTTGAGATGCCCAGTTTTGATAAATGTGTGATTACTCACTATGCTACAGTAATTTTGCCTGTGGGTGGTTTGCAGAGGCTGCCAAGAAGCACAGAGGGAATGTGGGTGTATGTTACAACAAGCTGGCTAAATCTTTCACCACATAAAGTGAAAGAAACATCCATTGTAAGAGGAACTTTTAACACTGAGTAAAAGTGGCCTCCGTTCTGTTGGTATATGCCCACCAATGGACGGTTGGTTTGGTGGCACACTGTCCTACAGTCAGTGTAGAGCCCCTGCCCTGTCCTTTATTCAGGATATATACAGTACTATATCTGCTCCTTAATGTACAAGTTTGTATAAACCAGTGGTGGTTTTTCTTTCAGTTCTACACAGGGTACTTTCATGACAAAGGATATACTTTGTACTGGTGATTATTTTTATTTCCTGTTGCCTTACAATGCACACTGAGAGCCATTATAACTGATTCTTACATCTTCTCAAATTATGCTTTAACTACTGATACTATTGTGAAAAATACATTTTGAGGCACTTTTTGAACCAATTAGTGCTGGACTTTTAATTTAAACCATAACTATAATAAACACCCAGTACCTTTGGGAGTTACACCTCTCGTATAGTCAGCAGAGCTGTAAACCAGGGCTCCGAGTGGATCTGGTTCAATAAACGCAATGGGGTCGGGTACCAGCTTCTTTTCAGTCAGTCCCAGTGGTCTCAGCAAGAGCCCAAAGTCATCCAGTCCTGTCAGCTTGTCTGTGTTGCACTCATCTTGGTAGCCGATTTCCCAATCGTCTGAGCAAACAGAAGTACCATTAATATTATAAAAAGGCATTTATTAAATACAAAATTACTCTATTAATCTGAGTGCAAATAACCTTCCTTACCATCGGATGTGCTGTCCAGTTGGCCAATCAAATCAGACGTTAGACCTTTAATTCTAAAAGCAAAAGGCAATGATGAATAATAGACTATATTGGATACTGTAACAGCTACAAGTTTTTATAAAAGCATGAACTGGAAACAGCCTAACCTAGAGGCTGTATTATTGGTTTCTATGCTTAGTTATATGCATCCATTCATCATTTCCTGTACTTATAATTTCACATGTATAAATATATGGTTAGAGCCAACGGTGTGAGTTGATGCCGCAGATGGCTGCCTCGGTTCTGTACTGGAAACAAAATCCTTGTGTGTGTAACATGCTTGGCCAAATAAAGGTGATTATCCTTATTATTATATACTTTACCTTTCATATTTAGAATTTGCATCACTCAGGTTTGCAGCCAAATACTTTTCCCTGCAGGAGCTGCAGAGGAGGTAGAAGGGAAAGTTAGAGCCACACTCCCCTCTGAACCAGACGTCCACATAGGCTCCGGTGCTGTCGTAACCCTTTCGTGCAGCACTCTGCCCACAACCTGGGTGACGCCGCTTTATGTGATTGTTAAACTGCAGGGTAAGGGTGTTGCACAGCTCGCACTTCACCATCTGACTGTGGTCTTCTCCACCCTAAAAGAAGGGTAGTAAGATTGAACAAATGTGATCATGAAGCTTCATTTTTGTCATGTATTATTTTATCTGCTATGAAGTGATAATTGTCACAAGTTAATCTGAGCTTTTGACTACAGCATTTCTCATTTTACATGAGAATCACTACATATTTATTAAATTAAACAAGATGAAGTTTTTGATTTGTCCATGTCACTCGGCCTTAGTAATGATAATTTGTGTGTTACCTCCACTATCTGGAGCATGTCTGTCTCCAAGTTGAAGAATGAGGGAGTGAGGAGGTCCTCGTAAGTTTCCTCATGGTATGGATCATCCATGTAACCCAGCTCTGACTCCTCAGCAGAGTAGGGATGAAACTCCACCTGCTCTGGCCAATCACTGACCGCTGTGTGCTGCTGATACAGCTGTGGGAGGGGGTTGGGTGACGGCAAGTCTGAAAAGATCATTTCAAATGAAAACAGGAAAAAAAAAAAAAAAAACAGTAAACAAAAAAAAAAAGGTTTCATAAAGCCTGTTACTGAGAGTCACAGCACAGGTTGGTCACAATATTTTAACCAGGTAATTAATGCATACATACATTTTTTTTAATCCTTTTACAATGTTTCAGGTCTGCCATCACAACACAGCATTGAGGTGCATGTAATTTCTTTGAATCAAAGCTGTTACTCTGACCTGCCCTTCGGAAGGACGTCCTCTGAGTCGGGCCAGAGCGTCTCCGCCGTGCAGGTGGTGGTCTGTTCCTGGTCAGGTGGACATCCAAGAAGTTCTCCCGCTCTATCCAGTCGAGGACTGGCAACAGGCTGTAAACAAAAACCCAGCAGTCCATCAATGAACTGATTGTAATTACAACAATAATACTGTAATGCCAGTACCAAAGGCAAAATGTCAGTATGTTACTGAAATCCCAGACCTTTCAGTGGGTTGACTGGTGGGGCGCTCTGGACATTGCACTGTCTCTGGCCCATCTGGGGATGGCGTGTCAGGGGCACCCTCTGGTCTAGGTGACTCGGCCGCCTGCTGCTCCTCAGTCAGGGGGTGTTCTAGCATCCAGCTGGCCAACACCTCAATGGTCTGAGAGTCCAGGTCACCTGCTACATCTGGGAGGGACCACAGGGAAGTTGAACTGTCAGAGTTCAAAAACAAAAGATGGATCATGGAATGTTTGTTGAAAAACCATGTCGGACATCACCATCAGATGATCCTGCGTCTGAGTACTACTTAAGGTCAGGCTGGCGCATCTGCTCTGATGATACAGTGTGTGTGCATGTGATAACGGGGAGTGTGAAGTATTGAGGGAATGCCTAAAATATGCATAATGAAGAGAGTTTAAGTGATTTAAAAAAAAAAGTGACAGTGTATTAGTGCAATGTGTAAATGTGAAAATATTCATACACTTGTACCTGTTTCTTAATACATATATATGATCTGTGCCATATTGAGCAAAATTATGAATTGATTCATTTTTACCACGTTGTAAAAGAAGCTTCCCTGAACAGCACAGTTAGTTACATAGTTTAAAGCAGAAAAACAACTAAATCATGTTTTCTGAAACACCCAACTAAACCTAATAATACCAATAATAATATGTAGAAATGTACAGTTATTTGATGTTTGGTGCTTTTTTTAACATTAAAAAAAAAAAACTGCATGTACTGCAATGTATTATACATTTGAGGAGTCTCAGTTATGGCCATTGTAAGTAACAGTATCATGTTAATCCTAAAACTACTTCAGAAATGCCCCCCCCTACATAAATTATCATTTTCTTAATCCAAATAATAAGGCAGCTGCACACAGTGGACAGACAGATGTTTAAAACAGAAAGCACATTAAGCAAAAATTAAGCAGCATCAGACATTCCACAAAACAGTACCTGCTGCCTCCATGGCCCAATAGATATGTCTCATCGAGAATCCCATTTCTAGCAACCGGCTGGTGACAAACATTTGTGTCCGTTCTGGTGGTTGAGGAAAAAACAGAAAACAAAAGCAAGCCCACAGCAGCAATTTGAATTCTTCATTTCATGTCCTTTATCAGATAAATAATTTTCAGTATTATTTCTTTACTTCAGTTTATGCTCTCCTTCATTAGTACAAAGAAAAGCCTCTCCATCTTATGTACAGTATAACGTTTACATTTAGTTTTTATATGTTGAAGGATTTCACCTACCAATAAACTCATACTAATCTATTCTAAGACATGAGAGTCAGGTCAGTGACCACAAGTTTAATGTACTTATCAGTAATGTTAAAAAGTAACACCAGGTTAACTGACGAGATTAAAAAAAACTGTGTCATTTAAGCATGTAAGTGCACAATCTGTGATATGCATGCTTTTGGTGGCCATAATATCATATCTGCCCAGTAGCAGAGCAAAACATTTGCTGTTTTGAGCAGCAGATCAGTAGTGGCAAAATGCTGAATGTATAAGACCATGCAAGAGACAGATACAGCAGTTTTCAACGAGTTCTCTCTGTCTACTGTCCCCTTTACCATAACATGGGGTACGGCTGAATTAAATTAGTTTTGAAATCACATAATACCTTTGAATATGAAACCAACATGGGAGAAATGTGTGTTAAGGTGAACTGACCTGCAACTCTACAATTAGCAATGCTATTCTCTTTGACACAGCCCATTATTGATCTCTTCCTTGTACTGTTACGTCTCGACTTCCAACAGATTTTCCCCTATTAACGTCTCTGAGCTTGTTCTTACCCAGGCTGCTTCTGGCCTGTGTGCTGCAGGGACCTGGTTCCATGAAACTAGTCTGCTGCTCTGTGAAGGCATCACAAGAAGCAGAGCTGGCCAGGCTGAAGCAAGGGTGCAGCACAGGGGGAGCGTT